CTGTGACAAGAAATCTGCTTCCTCAAGACAACCTTCAACATTGCCAAATATTTTTCCTGGCTGAGGGAATGCCAAAAGCTAGGCAGATTCAGAAATTACAGTAGCACCTACCATACTGGAGCAGACCAGAACCCTCACAAATGTGGGAGCTGTTTTCTTTTCAGAACAGCAGCAGTGGGAAAACAACAAATTTAATTTCTGTCCAGTGGGTTGAGGCTTCATTGAGGGAGCCAAAGAGCAGGACAGGGGCCAGGACCAGGAGAGGGACCACGGAGTAATTACACTGTGCGCTAGGATCTAAAGCATTTGTGACAATCCTTGGATTTGGCTTCCCACACCTTTCACAGATTTGCATTAGAAATCTTTTGCAGGACAAACACAAAGCAATGTTCATACATATTGAGCTTTTTAGCTGCCTTTCCTGAATGGATGAAAATTTACAGAATTCAGCCCATTTTATTCAATGCATTAAAATTGTTTTGGATTCTGATCATGCCCTCCAGAGTGCTTACAGTCCCGTTTGCCAGGCATCATCTGCCAGCTTGGGAAGAGATCTCTGTTCCATCACACACCCGCTAATGAAAATATTGAATAGCACCTGGCAAAAAGGAGAGATCCTCCCCATCTCAGGAACCTCCACTTGCCTGGCACAAAATCCTTGAGAATTTGAATAGGCTTTCAAACATTTGTAAACCTATCCAGGAAGAATTTCATAACAGATCCTCGCTCCCTAGTTAGCTTGTAAGAATGTCACGTGGAGCATGTCCCAAGCCCTCCTAAAATCAAGGTACCTTGCACCTCCTGCTTTCTCCTGCTCCTCTGCCCCCTTCCCCATCCAACAGCCCTGCTGCCTTGTCAGAGGTGGCAACTGGGTGGGCTTGCCTTCATTTATTTTTGACAAATTCACACTGGCTGTTGCATATTAACATATTATTCTCTAAGGTCATACACATTTTTTGTTCAAAAATTTGTTTACCATGTCTGTTCAACTGGCTTTCCAGCTGCCCCAGTCTACAGGCAGGTTTCAGTGCTATGCTGGCCGGAGCAGGGTGGCTCGGTGTCAGTGCCCTGCTCTGATACCCTGCCTGCTCAGGGCATGGGCATACGGACTTACACCTGACTTACAGCAATTGCCCTCAATGAGCAGAGCCACCTTGGCAATAAAAATATTTCTATTTGGTCTTCGGATTTCTAAAATATTGCAAGTTTAGGGGAGTGCATGGCACTCAGGAAAAAATGTTCTTGAAGGCATGTTTCAGGCTCTGCCTCAATTTATTTGGAGTTTCTTTATCTGTCAAAACCAGTAGCTCTTTTGGACACCCTAATCTTGGTCATTATTGCGTTTTGACAAAACCAGTAGCTCTTTTGGACACCCTAATCTTGGTCATTATTGCATTTTGACATAATGCTTTGTAACTATTTAAAGTGGGGTGTGGTTTTTGATTCATTACCTTGTCTTAAAGTTTTTGAAATATAACCCCTTAGTTTTTCTTGTCATCTCCATAGCTTCTCTGTATTTTTATTTTAGCTGTATTAAAATGATAATACTGATTCAATATACTCTGTTGTAGGAGATTTCAGGAGAAAAACTGATCAAGAAACTATGGCAAAAGAGAAGCTGATCTTATTTGCACATGGAAACAAGCGTCTCACCATCTAACGCAGCACCATTTTCTTTTGCAATTATAGCAACCGCGAGCACAAGTTCAGCAAACAAATGAACTTTCCCGTTTTGAAAATATAAGACCTTAAGCCATATCTGTGACCTACGAAAGGCACTTCCTATGGTTAGATGCTGGCCTCTCGTCTGTCTTATTTTTCCCCTCTTTAGCCATTAAGTGGAGCTTTCCCTTCCAGTAACGGATTACCACCTCCTGGTTTTTTTGGACAGCTGAGCTACTGGCGCCTCTGTTTTACCAAGTGAAAGCCTCAGAGGCACCTAAAATGCTTCTAGAAATCTACTGGGATGTTGTTCTTGTTTGTTGTTTGAAACGAGCACCTAAATATTTGAAATGAAATGAAATGAAAAACCTGAAATGCCCACATAAAAAAGCTATTGCTCAGAGACTCCCTGCCTGGGCAGAGTTGTTTTCACGGTGGGGCTTGTGAACTTGTAACAGCTCTACCTGAAACACCAGTGCAGGTTTTTTAAGTCTCCTTTGTATTTGTAACAAGTAAGGGAAAGGTTTGATGTAAAATTCCATCATCCATATATTGAAAATACTCTTTCAGTTTTCTCTTTCTCTAAACCCCACATTTCACCTCCTGTTAGCATCCGGGGCACTTTCTCTACTCAAGCAGACCCACTAAACCAATGAAGAACAATTATAAATAGTAAGAAATACTCACTAGGTAACAGCAGTAACCAGACTTAACTAACAATACTAAGAAATACTTTTAAACCGCTTTAGGACTTAGATATGGTAACATTAGCAAATGATGTGCCCGCTAGGATGGGACCTGGGTAGTGAAACAGTTTGTGCTGATGTCCTGATGTCTACACTCCCTACATGCATTTTAGAGATTTTATTTCCTAGTAATCCCAGTCCGGTCCCACTGACTGAACTCCTGTAGATGGCTGGAGTGCACCTTTTGGCCGTTTCACCCAACAGAAATCTCTGCTGGTGCATCTGAGGCTACTCTACAACTCAAATCAAAGCAAATTTGGGCATTTGCTAATGTAGATGTGGCCCAAATAGAGTAGAAGTATGCTGGGAGTAGTCAGAAGACATGTAAGACATGAGTACCTATAAAACTTCTTAATTTAACCCAGTTAAATAAGGTAGCAGAGTAGGAAGGGGAAGGATACTGCTTTTAAAATATATCAGTTAGCTGAGTAGGCAAAACAGGTTTTGTGCATATCCTTTCCATACTCGAACAGTCTGCACTTTAGTGTAATCTCAGCTTAATTTTCAAAAAAAAATGCCTTACACTTTAACCAAAATGTTTTTAACTTAAAGGGAAAAAGAACATTAAACAGTCTGGGATGTAGCCTGCACCAATGCAACTAAATCGTCTCAGAGCTTCGGGCAGCAGCCTTTCACGCCCATTATTTGCACTTCTTTTCCTCAGGTCTTTGCATAAAGCATTCCAAAGTAGAAAATTTACCAAAAGCAGGTAAAAAGCTAATTAAAAGATGCTGAGAGCAAAACTAAACCTCACTTTGATTCCTGCTTCTTCCAAACAGAAAAAATGAGTTGTTCCAGAAATCTGAGGTTACCCTTTCCGAGAGATTTTTCAGTCTGTATTTATTAATCTCGGTTTTGCACCTGCTTCTACATTCAAACAGCTCTCTCTTTTCTCTGTACAATTTGTGGACACAGATGTAGGTTTCATACATAGCATGCAGATGCAAGAGCTAAATTGGAAAATGCAAATGCTGTGGATGATTGGAATATGGAGACATCTCTGTATGAGGCCTCTTGGCATTCTGTGTGAACCTCAATAGGTTCAACAAGGCCAAGTGCAAGGTCCTGCACCTGGGTTGGGGCAACCCCCAGTATCAATACAGGCTGGGGGAAGAAAGGATCGAGAGCAGCCCTGCCAAGAAGGACTTGGGAGTACTGATGGACAAAAAGCTGGACATGAGCTGACAACATGCGCTGGCAGCCCAGAAAGCCAACCATACCCTGGGCTGCATTAGGAGAAGTGTGGCCAGCAGGCTGAGGGAGGGGATTCTGCCCTTCTACTCCGCTCTGTTGGGACCTCACCTAGAGTCCTGCGTCCAGCTCTGGAGCCCTCAGCACAAGAAGGACATGGAACTGTTGGAGCGAGTCCAGAGGAGGGCTACTAAAATGATCTGAGGGCTGGAGCACCTCTCCTATGAGGACAGGCTGAGAGAGTTGGGGTTGTTCAGCCTGGAGAGGAGAAGGCTGCAGGGAGACCTTACTGAAGCCTTTCAGTACTTAAAGGGGGCCTATAGAAAAGATGGGGACAATCTTTTAGCAAGGGGTAATGGTTTTAAATTAGAGGCAGCCAGATTTAGACTAGATGTAAGGAAGAAATTTTTTACAATGAGGGTGGTGAGACACTGGAACGGGTTGCCCAGAGAGGTAGTGGAGGCCCCACTGGAAACATGGCTGAGGGAGGGGATTCTGCCCTTCTACTCCGCTCTGTTGGGACCTCACCTAGAGTCCTGCGTCCAGCTCTGGAGCCCTCAGCACAAGAAGGACATGGAACTGTTGGAGCGAGTCCAGAGGAGGGCTACTAAAATGATCTGAGGGCTGGAGCACCTCTCCTATGAGGACAGGCTGAGAGAGTTGGGGTTGTTCAGCCTGGAGAGGAGAAGGCTGCAGGGAGACCTTACTGAAGCCTTTCAGTACTTAAAGGGGGCCTATAGAAAAGATGGGGACAATCTTTTAGCAAGGGGTAATGGTTTTAAATTAGAGGCAGCCAGATTTAGACTAGATGTAAGGAAGAAATTTTTTACAATGAGGGTGGTGAGACACTGGAACGGGTTGCCCAGAGAGGTAGTGGAGGCCCCATCCCTGGAAACATTCAAGGCCAGGTTGGACGGGGCTCTGAGCAACCTGGTCTGGTTAGCGGTGTCCCTGCTCACTGCAGGGGGGTTGGACTAGATGACCTCTAGGGGTCCCTTCCAACCCAAAACATTCTATGATTCTATGATTCTGGATCAGAATACAGATTTCATAGATTTCATTCAAATCCAGAAAATACAGGTATGTGATTCCTATTTTTAAAATAAAAAACAACTGCATATTTGCCTAAGACAAGAAATTTTCAGAATTCTCCTTACTTAATTTTTTTTTTCCCACTGGAAATAAATATAGGTTATATTTTAATGAAAATCCATTGCATATATTGAGTTATTTTTGTGCATGTAATTTGATTAGATTTCATTGTTAAACTGTTCTTTTTAAGAGAGGGCATGCAGTAATATTACTGTGACTATTCTCAAACAGGTATCAACTCGTTTATACATAGAAGCTCAATTACTTTTCTGAGTAAATTATGATAAAAAAGAGAGACTCCAAACTCACTCGTGCATCAGTGACCGCACCACCGTGTTTCCGTGAACGTGAGACTCGAAGAACAAGGTGTACAAGTACGGCAGCAGTGAGTATCTGATCTGAAGCGTAGCGCGAGATATCTTGGCAAACTCCTCACCAAACACCGCTGGGTCTTGTTCCTGTTAAGGAAAAGTTTTGATTTGTACTGAGCATTGTAACTGGGGACTGCAAATTCAACAGAGAACCTGCGTGCAACCTAAGGAGAGCTGTGGCTGACATAATGCTATGGAAGCGAATGTTTAAACAAGAAAAAGTACTGATTTGCAAACTGGAAAATGTATTAAGAACAACATCCTTTATCAGCAAACTAGTATTTGTATAAAATTATTCAACTTGAAAAATTCCAGTGAGTTCAGAAAGATCAGGCCCCACTGGGGTGTATGTGAGCCATCTGCAACCGCCCCTAACCTTGTGATGGGAGGGGAGCTGGGGTTTCATGTCTGTGCTCGGGAACAGACACCCTGTCTCTAGAAATCAATTTATCCTGGAGATGCAAGCCCTCTGGGACAGAAAAGGTGAAGCTGACTGATAATCTGCAAAACAAAGGCAAAAGCATAATCATGTTGTCCAAGAACATCAAGGCAAATCTATTTAAAAGTAAGAGCACATTCATGGACTTGCTGAAGCCAACAGGAGTCACCACGTGCAGTGGGGAAAACCTTTCATCCATACAAAGAAACTTGATTTCTTCTCCTGTGCCGACCATTTCAGGATGCCCCGACTGAGGGGACACCGCACATCAGCAGTGCCCCTCGCCTCCTCGCTGCTGGCGATGCTCTCCTGGGAGAGAGGGCACGCATACTGCGTCCCACCGTCAAGAGGGCAGGTTAAAGCAATCTGTCTACACTCGTTGGCTGCTCCTAATCCACTTCCAGGCAACCTTGACTATCCCCTGAGACAGGATGCAGAGCACGCAGCCCTGGGCAGTGCTGCTACGGGAAAGTTACATCTCCTTTAATTCCTCCTCTCCGACCTTCTCCAGTCCTAACGAGTCACATGGCTCCCTTCTTCCTCCCGCACAAAATTTTCCCATAATACTCAGTTTTCTCATTAAATTGAAGAATGTATGATGAATTCCAAGGATAATGAAACATAAAAGGAACAGAAGTAACAAAGCTTTTTATATTATCTAGTGCTTTTCAGACAAGAAAAGTATTAATTAAACCATTTGAAATCCCCAATGGATTAGGCAAAGTGGATATTTAAGATTTTATTTTAACACTAACTTAATATTCATGAAACTCAATATTTAAGTTAAATTTCTCCATTATTATGTTTACATCAGAATTAGTCACTGATAATATTCCCTGCTGGCTCTGCTCTCCAGAGCATCTATCTATTATTTCAAAAACTGCATTGTATTTTTACCAGTATTTTGATACTGTACAAATATTGCCTAAGTTCACAAAAAAGCAGACAGACTTCTTAGGTGATGCTGAGTCACCCATTTTGGGTGACTTGTTCATTTCTTTCAGCGAACACGCTGTTTTAAATGGATTTAAGTAATCCGATAAAACCAAATGTATCTGCTGTCACTTCTGCCATTCACTCCACACTGAGCTGCGGCTCCCGTCACGTAGACCCATTGCTCTTGTCCTGATACAAAATTGTGCAGACGTGATTAACACGCACTCACCCAGGTCAGACCCCGTTTGCGTGCTCAAAGGGCCAAGCAAACATATATAGATAATTAGGTAACCTCTAATTTTAGTGGAGAGGTAAATAAAATATTTAAAATAAAATATTTATCAGCAGCAGTAGCTAACACCTCACAGACATTCATTCTCCTAGAGGCAAATATCTCAGCATGTCTCAGGGATCTACCAGGTAATTCCTGATCCTCTTAATGACAGCGCTATAGATTATTATTCCTGCATTCGCCCAGTTGCTAAATGTCCATCATACTTCCACGCAGAGACAGAGGCCTTTCTGGGGGGGTAAATGTTGCGACATTTTGATCATGCAACTTCAAAGAAAACTGAAGGTTAGCTAATAACCTGAGCTCCAGTGTTGCATGGATCAGTTTACAGGAGGGGGAAAAAAAAAAAGACATTTACTGAACTAGCAGAATCATTTAATCGTAATTGCAGATAAACACAGTGCAGTTACAAAGGCTGCAAGACCTTCAAACTGTTCATAGTTAGAAACAACCTGATAACTCTTCCTGTCTGTGACACATCTCGAAAGGACTTTATGATAAGTCGAAGCCAGGGCATAGGTCTGGACTGCAACTGCTCTTTTTCATCCCCCTCATGGGCTCATTGGCCTTTCTTAGTCTTGGTTGCTTCTTGCCTGCTAACGCTGTCGCTGTCGCTGCCTCTCCTTGGAGTTCTCACATGTTTGTCTGGAGTTTCTAACAGTGGCATTTGCCTGAAACTTGCTTTTAAACAGCAAGGATGGCGTATAATGCCCTCTCTGCCCTTCCTGCAATACCTGTTACAGCTACAGAAGTACTGAAATAAAAACTGAAGTGAACAAGAAAGTCGCAAGATGTGCTGACACTGGCTCTTAAATAAAACCTGGGCTTCAGTAGGTAAAAGATGGAGGGGATGATCTTACCAGCAGTGTGGGAAGACCATTTTCTGTCATTCAAAACACACAGCACCCATTTCCCCATGGCTTTTATGCTACATATTTTTCAGCGTTTCTGTGTCACCTTTACATCGCGGAATGGAAAAATTTACACTTCACCATGTAATTCCTTCTCTCAGCGCAGCACTCCTTTTCACCTGCCGCTCCAGTTTACCTGAGAGTGGCAGAGTAATTTCTGACCAAGTAACACAAATCACTGTTGTTGGTACTTGTAATCACAGGCTACAGCTTGGTGTAACTTCGGTTACTTACGCTATTTCCCTCTGCATTGTGGTTTCTGGAAAAAGGATAGAAAGAGCCAAGCTGCATCCAGCGCAAGCAGAGTTCATAGGTAGTGTTATAGTTAAACCCACAGATATCAGCACCAATCTAAAGAAAAAATAAAATCATTGAATAACTGTGATTGTGACTGAAGCCCAAAAATGAGTAACTACAGAAGTTTGTTAACAAAAATAATTTTTGGAAAGAGCTACCTATTTCTGACGACTTTATAAGAATGCTCCATAATGATACGAATTTTTCCAGCACTGAGATCTTACTGGCTCCTAGAGCATTAACATCACTATGGAAGATCTGACCATATCTCAATAGTTCCACAAATTCTCCAGCCCAGCGTACAAACCCAGAAATATACGGAGCAACCTCAGTGATAGAATGCGTAATACAAAGAGATCAGTTTTGGATGGCATGCAGTGATTTAATCGGAATCTAGCAGTGCTATTTTTGTTTCTCTTCAGCTAGCCAAGATTGATGACATTTAACTTTTTTTTAATCTGCAGTTCCTTATGCTGTGGAGGCCGTCACTGCTGGCCGTCTCAAGCAGCTTATTTCAGAAAATATTTGAGTTAATTTAAAGTGATATTGTGTATGAGCCAGCAGCTGCCTGAAGGACATCGGACTTACATAGGGGATGCCAAAGAGGTTGAATTCCAGGATTCCAATGATTGACTGGTGCATGTCCTTCCACTGAGAGAAGTTGTCACCCAGCCAGTGACCCCCATGCTTCCCACTCCCAACAAATGTAGACCGACTCAAGACAAATGCTCGCTTTCCAGTGGCCTGCTGGACAACACTGTGAAGAAATGCAACAAGATCATTAAAAATGAGAATGGTAACCAACAGAGTCATATGATCAACCTGAGCACAATTTTATCCGAAGGGGTGTTATTTGTGAAACAGTTATTATTGTGGCGACAAGCCACGTGAAAATGTGGCCGCAAAACTGCAAATAATTGGAAGTTTTACTCAGTGGCCAAAATAAAAAACTAAAATCTATCTGATCCACAAAGCAATTTGTTTCAGGTATTTTTAGTCTTCCTAAAAAATAATTTGTGTTTAATTTATTCTCAACAGTGTCACAAACTGAAAAATTGAAACATAATTTCCTTTCTGTATTAGTACATTTAATTTAGTGTCCTGCAGTTTCCTAAAAAACAGTATAATATCTATTTTTTACAACATAGGATTTATTTAGAGATTTGTTTTGGCAGATAAAGTTCTAATATCCTGGAATTAAAAGTAAAAAAAAAAATCAAAACAATATTTAAACATCTTTAAAAAATAAATAAGCAAAAATGTAGTCATTCAGAATGTCACCCCATCCTTGTCGTATTTCCTCTGGTTTCCTGTAATTGTTTGATATGTGAGGTTTCATTACAGAATTAGTGGTGTAATGAATTTTTCCTTGTGTTTTGAAAATAATTTTGCTGCATCACCAGAAAATCAAGGAAGTGCAATATGCCTTATTAACAAATCTGTTACAAAATTCCTCAACACAGGGTAATCACTGTACATAATTACGTATTGCAATATTATATATTGCAGGAACAGAAATTCAACTCTGCTTTAATGCGATTTGGGGTAACACAGCTTAGTTTCTCTGGCAAATCGTAGCATGAAATATTAATCATGTTGTTCACCATCTATCTCCTTCTCCCTTTCCTTAATGAGATTTGATCAAGAGCTCTTTCATCCGTATTCGTAATGGCCAATATTCGGCATCGGTTCTGTAACGGCACAGAACCTTTAAAACGCTTCAACATTTTTTTCTGAAGCAAAAAACCCAACGGCTTTCACGCAAGCCTAAACATATTAACCTTATGGGCCATGTGCAGCAAGAGGTGCAATTCATGAACCATGAGGGACCCACTGGTTCTGGGTTGTAGGTGCACTCTTGGGCCCCACAACTGCACAAGACTCCATGTGTGTTGTACAAATGGCATTTTGGAGCCATTTCATGGATGTCCTGAACATGAGTCCTCCCCTCTGCCTGTGCAGCACAAGTCTTTGGCTCCATTTGCAAATGCAGGTGTTAATGAGGGCAACATCGGGTCAACGCAGCTATCACCCAGAGCTGCATTTGCAACAAGTAATTTATTGAATAAATTTCAGTCTATTGTGTACCATTGCCAAGCAGGTCCTAATGTCATCAAATGTATTTGTTGATTGAAATTATTTACAGAATATCGTGTGCAAATATCTCTTGGTGTTAAGCTGCATACAAGCTGTATGTATCCCAATTTGAGCCATTTGACATGGGTCAGATGACACTTCCTATTCTCTGGCTGCATTAGAATAATTCTTAGAATTGTTTTGTATAAGATTATGAACTTGTCATTCATTTTCAGCCAATATCCTCCAGTTGATGCTGGTTTGCTAAATACTCCTGTGAGTAATTTAATTTAGTATATTATTTGTGAAGAGTGAATGCAGAAAGGGTATACAATCAGCCCTCAAAAGAAATGTGTTTGAGAAACCCAGATGAATATGTATGAAAAATCCTTCATCAAAGTTTCCCAGCTTCACAGCGAATCCGGCCTCTGCTTATGCTTTTGGTGGTGTTCTCCAGCCTTGAAGGACTCTCTACATTTGGCTCAGCAAAATATGTGTTTCTTTTGGAAGGAGCCCTGGAAGCAAGCGCTGCAGGAACGGGGAAGGTTTGCAAGGTTTGGGGGAGGCTGCAAGGACCCATGCAGCAGTAACCGTCCCAACAGCATTGGTCCAGGTTAGCACAGCCGGGACAGTGGGCACGCTGGGGCAGATGTGCCAGCACATGGAGCTTTTCTTGCTAAATTCACAGGGTTTGTCTCAGGCAAATGGCTTTGCTGGCACAGAGCCTGAATAAAACTGAAAAAAAAAAAACAGCTCAAGAAGATAGGCAAGTCCAAAATCCCTATTCGAACAGTGTTACCAAGACAGCATACGGCTGTGTGGACCCCAGTGTGCAGAGGACAAATCCTGATGGAGATACCAGTGATGGCAGGATCTTTGCTGAGATTGGGATGTAGGAGCCCAAACCCCATTCTAAGTCCCTAGCACTTTCTGCTTCTCCTCCCAAAAGCTGGACTGCTCTCCAGCCAGGCCCACAATAGCTGGCAAACTGCTTCTGGCTTTTACCCAGCGCTTCCCTTCCCCCAGGCTTATTGTATAAAACACAAGCGCATCGACACCGTACGCAGGCTCACTTAGCCACGTCCTCTGGGTCACAATACAACTGCCGAAAATGCGTGCTAAATACTGAAATAAGCCAGCACAAGGCCCCCTGCTTTGGCACTTATGTTGCAGTGTTAAACTTACCCATGTTTTAGCTCAATCTCTGCTGGAAAAGGCATGATTTGCCCATTTGATTTAATCCAACAGCTAGCTTTCCACTGTCACTCCAGCTTCACAGCACCAGTCTGCCTGTGTAAGCTCGTTTTGAGTGCTTCCCAGCTGCAAAATGAGTTTTACAGTAGTTGACAGCAACTGTGCTGCAATGCAGCTCTGCCCTCCCAGACTGACAGAGACCAAGCCAAAATACGTGACACTGCCTGGAACCAAAGCAGCTCCAGAAGCAGCCGGGGGAGCTGGATGGTTTGGGTCCTTCATTTCCAGTGATAGAAACTCCTGTGCTTGGGCCACGGTAATGAAGGGATGGAAAAACTCCCCTGATGCCCCGCAAGGCTGCTTCTGCAGCATTTGCACCCGAGCAGCTCTAGCAGAGGATAGGAACGTCTTGCTCGAGATATACAAAAGCAGCAGCTAAAGAGTTAGGCCCTAGCAGCAGGTCCTGATTTTAGCTAGGAAAAGTAATTTGGAAAAGATTGTGTTTCTTCTCCCAAGAGCCTCTTCTCTTGAAACTTCTTACTAACCGACAAACAGTAAAACGAAGCATGGGGCTGTTTCTTATTAGATACTGTTACAGATTTCCCAGGTAACATCAGCAGCTCTTAAAATCTATTTCAATCACCTGAAATCTGCTTAGAGATATTTAGAAAACTTACTGGAAAGTTGGTGCTGTCTGCGACCAGCCGAAGAGGGAGTGGGTGTTATAATGCTCTCCAAGGTAAGTCTTGGAGTCGGGACACAACGTCTTTTGCGCCAGGGAACGATCAGAAATGCCTGAGAATGATAAAAAACACTGTAAGATTATATACATCGCAATTGAAACCTCTTCATATTTCTACTCATTTAGGGGTGAAAACACCAAAGGATTTGGGAAGAGGAAAATGTGCAGAAGTGCCAGACCTGCACCGATTAGGGGTTACCATGTAGCCATGAATACCTGCTTGCAGGCAGGCACATGTGTCCTCAGGAGGGTGAGAGGACTGAGCGAACACTGCCAATTAATGTCACGTTTTATGTCCAATAACTCAAAACTGTCTCTACACATATCGTGTATTCGGGAAGTAATAGCCAGGAAGAAAATTTCTGCGTTGCTGAATTAAGAATACAGCTACCTATTCTTTTACATAGTGACAAATTTTACTTCAGAGCAAAAATGTCGCAAGTAAAAACAAAGAATAAAACCAGAAATTCAGATGCTCAGGCAACTTGTACGGTAGTGTGAAATCACGAGAGCTCGGTTTGCGTATCACTCAGCTGCAGATGCAGGTAGGCAGCAGGGTTCTGCCCTAGCATAACAAAATTCACATCTAAGCTCAGCTTTGGCCCCTGTCTTCCCCTGAGGCATCTAGGACTAAAAGACAGCAGGACTAATGGCACGGCCCCAAGCAGCGCTGCGAGCGATGAGCAGGGAGCGCCAGAGGTGGGCAGGGGAGGAAAAAGCGTGAGGTGCCGTAGTCCATGGGGAGTCATCTGCTACGGCCCGATACGCTGCGCGGCGGAGAGCAAGGACAACTGTAATGGGTATATTCGCATGGGGATGGGTTATCCAGCAACTCTGTCTGCCAGCAGGTCACAGCCAGTGGCGGCAGCGGTGGATTTTTGCGTTCAGTAGAAGTTGGGGGTAGCCCTGATGTCGCTGGCACAGCACCAGTTTAGCTGAGCCAAGGGGAAGTAATACGAGGCACAAACTGGCTGCACAGATGCTGCCTGGTCTTTGATCCCATATTAAGGAGATGCTGGCAAAGCCCGTTTGGTGCGGAAAATGTGATTCTCGTCCTCTGCAGGTAACCTCCACGAAAATGCCATGTGAAGTTCAGC